TTTATTTATTTGAGATGGAGTTTCACTCTTGTTGCCCAGGCTGGAGTGCAATGGCACAATCTCAGCTCACTGCAACCTTCACCTCCCAGGTTCAGGTGATTTCTCCTGTCTCAGCCTGCCGAGTAGCTGGGATTACAGGCATGCGCCACCATGCCCAGCTAATTTTGTATTTTTAGTAGAGATGGGGTTTCTCCACGTTGGTCAGGCTGGTCTGGAACTTCCGACCTCAGATGATCCACTCACCATGGCCTCCCAAGCGCTGGGATTACAGGCATGAGCCACCATGCCCAGCTGAGATGAGGGTTTAATTGCATTTTTCTGCATGTGGACATCTAGTTTTCCCAGCACCATTTATTGAGACTGTCCAAAGCAAATTTCTAATGGAGTTGTCTAAAGAGTCACCAGAGCTAGGGCAGGTAGTGACCTATATGTGCTGCTCTGGCCCACAAAACACAAGTACTAACCAGGAATGTTACCGTAGATTGAAGATGGCTGCAATTCTTGATTATTCCCACCATTGAGTGGTGGGGTCTAATTCTTCTCCTTTGAATTTGGGCTGGCCTTAATGATTTGCTTGACTGACAGAATGAGAAGGAAGTAATATTCTGGGACTTCTGAGGCTAGGTCAGAAGAAGTCTTGCAGCTTCTACCTACATTTCTTAGACATTCAGTCTGGGGGAAGTCAATCACTACACAAGAGATTTGACTTCACCAAGATTGCCATACTGTGAGGAAACTCATGCTAGCCACAGTGAGAATGCAAGAGATGCCCAGCTACCCCGAGTAGATCCAAACCCCCTAGCCAAGGTGCCAGTTGTATGAATGAAAGAGGCACCTTGGACATTCCAGACTCAATAGATGCAATGCGGGAAAGAACTAAGGATCCTAAAAGATAGCCAGAACCTAGGCCACAGGCAGAGGAGCCCAAATGAGGTGTCCTAGCCATTTCCAGCCATTAAGCCACCCCAGCTTGGGGTTTTAGTCATTGTGAAACAGAAAGGAGACCTTCTGTTATCCCCTGTCTGAATTTCTGGCCTATAAAATTATGAGCATAAAAAATTGGTGGTCATTTTATGCCATTTCTTTTTGAGGTGGTTGTTGTTTTATACCAGCATGGTTTAGGCTGGTTTGTTATGCAGCAATAGATCATTGAAACAGATGTTGAAGACAGCATTTATATTTCTCAGCTATTGCTACAATAATACAGTACTCCAGAATAACACATGACTCCAGAACTCAGTGAGTTTCAATAAGCAGTTATTTTTCTCACACATGGGTCTATGGGTTGATTGGGGTGTTCTTCTTTAGGCTATGAGGCAGCCGGATTTGGTCAGGGATGCAGGCCAAATTTGGACACACTCCTTTCTTTGTTCTGGTGCCAGGCTGAAAAGGCAGCATCTATTCAAGGCATGCTGGGTCACATGTATGCAGGAGTCCCTGTGCGATTTTGTGAAAACATTTCGATGCCTTTGCTTGCATCACATCCACTTTGTCCACTAGCCAAGGAGCCACATGGCCAACCTCAAAGGCAATGGGGTAAGTAAACTCCTATCTAAGTGGGAGAAACAAGGGAAAAAATTTTTGCTGAACAATAATACTCTAGCCTATCACGGGATCAGATGACAGTGGTGGTAATGCCGTCAGGCTGGATCACTTGTAAGGCATTGCTATAATTCAGCACTTATGCATCTAGAAACCAGGGAGAGCACAAATAAGGACTGTGGGGAAGGTGTCTAACACAGGAATCAACTTTTTCTTACACAAAATACCTATAAACAGGAGGTATGTAAAATTATGAAAAGACAAAAAAAATGCAAAAGGAGAGGAACTAAGAAAAGAGAGAAAAAAGTGGCAGAGAGTGAAACCCTTTCATAGTTATGGTAACACCCCCAAATATTGTTGCGGCCAGAAGAGGACACCTGTTTCTTAGTTTGCCTCACAACTTGACTACAGGGCAACCCTCTAGAGACAAAAATGCCCCAAGAGACCAGCTCCTTCCTAAGGAGAGTTTTTGCTAATTCAATGACAGATACACATGGCATAGTATAAGGCACCCCCTAACAGTGCTCTCACACTTAGCACGACACTATGGCTAAATAGTTCATGGAGTTCCCCACTTCCAATTGAGGGTTGACCGACTATTATTGCAGCTTTGGAGTGCACAGGTAAAGCACAAAAAGCCACGGGCAGCAAGCACAGTTGGTGCAGTGGGGATTCAGAAAGGCTATGGGAGGAATGTGGTATCTAAACGGGGACTGGATGGAGGGCAAAACAATGTGGAAGCAGCACACAGTCCCATTTTTGCAGGAGGCCTTGAAGGCACAAGGCTGGAGAGCAGGCTGAGGCCAGATCATGGTAGGCCTTGAATGCCAGGATGAGGAACACATTCTTAATTCAGTGGGAACCACTGAAAACTTTTGATCAAGAAGTGATATGAAGTTATCCTCCAATATCATTTTTCTGTGCTCCTTTAGTAACAGAAACTCCAGTTTTTTAACTGGGTGCCTGCCTGTGTGAAACAAAAATTACATTCCCTAACTTTTCTTGCAGCAAGGAGGTATGGTCATTTGACTAAATTCTTATCGATGAAATATAAGAGAAATAATGTGTGTGATTTTTAGGAAGTGTTTACAAAGGAAGAAGACAGGCCCTCGTTGCTCCTTCTTTTCTGCTGGATGAAAGCTGAACCTTATCCTAACATGTATATTACTCATTAGGAAGATTAGCCAGGGGCAAAGCAAAATACAGGATGGTTGGAACAAGAGGAGCATTGGAGATGGGAAGACTAATTAGGAGAACACTTCAATAGCACAGATAGGAAGTGAGGAAATAACTGAGCCAGTGTGGTAGCAGTAGGAAGAGATGGGATGAGCAGATGTGATAAATATTGTGAAAGGAAACTGTGGGACTTAGCAATTGATTAGATGAGAGAAGGCACTACAGAGGAAAGAATCAACGTTCACTTTGAAGTTTCACACAGAGGTGACTGGGACATCAATTATGTTTTAACAGAAATAGGGGAGTAGACGGATGAGCAGGCATGAGGAAGGCAACCATTAATTTGGTTTCGAACGTTTTAAGTTGGGATGCCTGCAGGATATTCAAGTGGAGATGTAAAACAGGAAGTTGGAGACTCATTTCTGGAGTATGATTTAAGAGTCTTTTGCATAAACATGGTAGTCAAAACAAAGGGAAGGGCTGGCTGGCAAAACATGGTGTGTATCTGTAGAAATTACTCTTTCTTCAGTGCACATAGAGAAATGAACTGCATTCTGGAAAGCCAGATACAAATATGTGCAGCTCTTCACCTGACACTACACCACCCCTCCCCCTCCACACACACCCCCTACAAGTTCTAGCCAATAGCTGGCTAGCTCCAAGCAATGACATACACTCACTGTCTCAAAATTTGGACAGCTCCTTAAAGTTCCTTATGAAGACATTTTGATTTGCACAAACATCTATCATGACATGTTTTAAGATGACACCCTTTTTAGCAAGAAATCTATAGTAAATTGCCTTCCTCCTTAATTGAGGTTACCCACACTTAAGTCTCCCCTTGCCTGGCGCAGTGGCTAGTGCCAGCTACTAAGGAGGATCCCATAAGCCCAGGAATTGGAAGACCAGCCTGGGCAGCATAGCAAGACCTTGTCCCAGAAAAATAAGAAAGAAAGGAAAGAAAGGGAAAGAGGGAAGGAAGGAAGGAAGGAAGGAAGGAAGGAAGGAAGGAAGGAAGGAAGGAAAGGGGGAAGGGGGAGGGAGGGGGAGGGAGGGGGGAGGGAGGGAGGAAAAAAGACGCCTTTAAAGAACAATTCTTTTCAAAAGCAGAATAATATAATAACTGTGACACAGTCAAAGGACGCAGCAGAAGTTTCCCTTATAACTCCCATGGCCAAATCAGATATCAAATAAAAGATGAAATAAAGAGGAAATCCATAGAACGTGAACAATGAGGAAGCGTTCAGACTGGCCAAATCGCCGTCTGCGCTGTTTTCATGCCAGGGCTCGGGCCTGGGGATGGAAGAGGTTAAAATACAGTGGCTTGTGTTTCAGCTTAGGTTACGTGGCAGAAACCAACTGGAAGTGGTGGCGTGACAGCTGTTTCTTCTAGAAGAGCTTTGAGTCTTCCACCCCCATACCGAAGACAGCTGCTGGGCGGGTGACCCAGCCCCATCCTGGTAGCCCGAGGACACACACCCAGGAGCGCCCCGGTGCGCGCAGTGGCGCGGCCCAGGCGCACCGGGTTTGGTGGCACCGCGAGCCCCCTTTGTCGCGGTACGGCTGTGTTGGCGCCCTAATGAGCATGTGCTAAGGCTCCTCTCATCCATCCATTTCATCCATCCTCCCATTCGTCCTTTGTCTCAGGGCAGGACCGTGCTGGGCACCATGATGTGCTTTATTACCCGAGCCCCTCAGCACCCATGAAGGAAAGGATTTTCCGAAGGAGGAGACGCGGCGGCAGGACCTCCCAGGGACCCCTACTTGGCGGGAGAAACGGGCGAGCTCTGTAAACGAGTGTGGGCGGCGCGGGGGCAAAAGCACCTCCCGGGAGAAAGGGACCCTTCCCCAATCTCCAGGAGGAGGAACGCCTCCGCGTTCCACATTATCGCAGGCCGCCGGCCTCGGAGGACTCAGATCCCGGCCGCGGGAGAGGGCCCGGCAGGTGCCTACGAGCCCGGGCGGTCCTTCAGCCCGCGCCTCCCTGTGGTCGCCCCGAGCCGGCCTCTGTTAGCTGGGCGGGGAGGCGGCTTTTGGCGCCGGGATTGGCCGGCGCCCTCGTGTCCCGGCGTCCCCGCGGCCTCCGGAGGACCCTCCCGACCACCCGCCCCTGCCCGGCACGGGAGAGCCGGGAGGGGCCCGGAGACGCCCGGCGGCGGCTGCCGGGCTGTGATTGGCCAGCGTCGCGGGGGGCGGGACGGCGGGCGTGAAGGGGGCGGGCTCGGGCCGCTCCCCGCCCTCCTCCTTCCCGGTCTGCGTCCGCGCTCACTTCAGCTTGCATCATCTCCAGCCTGCGGCTGCTCCGGGGAGGCTGGGCGCGGCGCGATCCTCTCCACCGGTGGCTCCAGCCCGCACTCCGCGCCTCGTGTCGCCCTTCTCGCACCTGGTCCTGCTCCAGGCCGGGAGAGCCCGGGGGCGGCTTCCCAGAACCTGCGGAGCTCAGTGGCCGATCTCCCCTGCGCCGACTGACCCATTCACTGGGAGCCCCGTCTTTTGCCAGAGCCCACGTCCCCTGCCACCTCTAGCTGGGAGCGGCGTGCAGCGCCATGGAGAAGAGCAACGAGACCAACGGCTACCTCGACAGCGCCCAGGCGGGGCCTGCGGCCGGGCCTGGAGCTCCCGGGACCGCGGCGGGACGCGCCGGGCGTTGTGCGGGCTTCCTGCGGCGCCAAGCGCTGGTGCTGCTCACGGTGTCCGGGGTGCTGGCGGGCGCGGGCCTGGGCGCGGCGCTGCGCGGGCTCAGCCTGAGTCGCACGCAGGTCACCTACCTGGCCTTCCCCGGAGAGATGCTGCTCCGCATGCTGCGCATGATCATCCTGCCGCTGGTGGTCTGCAGCCTAGTGTCGGGCGCCGCCTCCCTCGACGCCAGCGCCCTCGGGCGTCTGGGCGGCATCGCCGTCGCCTACTTTGGCCTCACCACGCTGAGTGCCTCTGCGCTCGCCGTGGCCTTGGCATTCATCATCAAGCCGGGGTCCGGTGCGCAGACCCTTCAGTCCAGCGACCTGGGGCTGGAGGACTCGGGGCCTCCTCCCGTCCCCAAAGAGACGGTGGACTCTTTCCTCGACCTGGCCAGGTAACGCTCTCCACCTCGCCCAGGGTTCACAGTGGGAGACGCCAGATCTCGGATGCCCTCCGGTTTATACACACATATGTTCATATACTCCCAAGAGTTAATTCTTAGTTGGTTGCTGGTGGCGTTTAACGTTTTAAAAATCTCAAAATGACGTATGGAGTCTTTGCGTGCTGACCACACCTTTGCAAACAGCTGGGGCTCACCGCACAATCGAAAGAGCAGGGCTGCATCTTTGAGCAAGAACCAGTCTCTACCGTTAGGTGGGCGTGTGTTAGGAAAGAGCCAGGCCGTCCCACCTGTTCTTTACTCCTTGTACTCTCGCGCTGCTCTCCCCGGTAAAAATGTTCCGACCACGACCCCAGTGGCTTCGCCCTATTTTCTCCCACGTGGTGCCTACAGCTTCTGGGAGCACTGGTTACGTTTTGCCTGTTGGGTCATCCGACTTGCAACCTGTTACCTTCTCTGTTACAGTCCTTGGCTGCGAAGGAAGCTGGCAATTTTCTGCAGTTTTCAGGGGACCCACAGATAGTAGGGCTGGGATTAGCTGAGTGAGGCGTATTATGAGTGAAATATGCCTCTCCTGAGGGCTCGGGACAGGTTGCTGTCCACCCTAGTAAACACCACTGTAGAGTGTTGTGTTTTAAAGGCCTTTCTTTGTGCGAAGGTATGAGTTCTAGAGGAGAGGGAGAGAGGCATCTTCACTTAGCTTTGCCTGCTTTTTGTGATTCTTGGAAGTTGCAATTCATCCTTTGAGATGATGTAGTATCCTTTCTGGGACTTATCCAAAGCCTCTGTCTCTCCTGGTTTCTTCATTAGCCCAAAGTTCACAAATGGGGAAACTGCAGCCTGGAATCATTTACTGATCTAACCAGGTTCAGTTGAGTGAGGAGTCCAGCTGGCTCCCTCTCCAGGTTTGTGATGATTTTGGATTCTGAACCTTGGAGTTAATATATTTTGACTTGAGTTATTGAGGCAAAGCTCCTCATTGTGAGGTTGTGAAAGACAGCAAACCCTGGGCAAAGTGACTTGCCTTTCCACTGTTTCCATTTCTCCCTCTGGAAAATGTGATGGCTGTCTGCACTTAAGTGAGAGATTGTTCATTTAAAACAACAAAAATCTAGAAAATCTGTATAAAAAAAAAAAAAACAAAACAAAACACTCAGACCAAAAGTTATTGCCAAAAGGGCAGGTAGTGGTGGCCTATTAGGACTTTAAGGGGATCACAGCTTTTTTTTTTTTTTTTTTTTTAAGAGTCTGGGTCTTGCTCAGTTGCCCCGACTGGATGCAGTGTTGGGATCCTAGCTCATTGTGTCTTCGAACTCCTAGGCTCCAGTGATCCTCCTGCCTCAGTCTCCAGAGTAGCTAAGATTACAGGTGCATACCACCACACCTAGCTAACTTCTTAAATTCTTTAAGAGATGGGGTCTCACTATGCTGCCCAGGCTGGTCTAGATCACAGCCTTTGTTCTGTGACTGGCAGCTTGATATTTGGAGTCCAGACACTTTTTAATTTTGGGAACTTTTAGGTGAGTGCTGAAGTCTCCTGAGGTTGAGAACACCTTTAGCTTATTACCTGCAGGATGTGGGTCAGCTCTCTCAGGAAGGGAAGGCAATTACGGGGTTAAAGGATTATGCTTTGCAGGGGTCTGTAGCCCAGGGAGGGAGAATGGATGTCCAGCTCTTCCCTGCTCCTGGTTTACACCAGGAGCCTCAATAGGATCTTTTATCTCCAGAAGAGAGGCCGGTGGTGATAGGGGATACCTCATTACCTCCAGCCCCAGAAGGGACTTCTTGTTTCCTGATCATGGGTTTCTAGTTTGAGACCCATGCCCCTTCAGCTCCTGCTTCTGACATGAATGGTGACCCAGCGTCATAGCTTAGCAGTGTGGGTACAACTTTTCAATGACCTGGGCTGCACCTGCATGGGAGGGCTAAGAGAGGCTTTGTTATGGCTTGTTGGGAATAGGTAGTGTTTCACAATTCTTCCAGCAGCCAACTTCATCTAATCCAGCAGCTCACAGATAAAGGTAGGGCAGGTAGTATATCCTATTTTACAACTGAGGAAACTGAGACAGAGATTAAGCGATTTGCTCAAGGTCATGGAGTGGCTTATAAAGAGGATTAGAAGGACTGTGGGTCTTCTACCCCACAGTGCAGGGCTCTATTTCTCCTAATCTTTCCCCAAGTCAACATGCCTTAGTAATGTCACGTACCTAGCCTAGTGTGACTATCTCAGAAATGCTTCTCTGGGCCCAGAGACGAACCAGGTAGGCATATGACTGGGTCAAGACAAATGCCCCCTTCCTCCAGCCAGCATGGAGGCTGAGCTCCTCAAGTGAAGGAAAGCATGTGTGCACCTGCTGAGGTTTTCTCTTAGGCTGAGCAGCTTATAAAAGGAAACTAAGTCCCTATTCACCCAGAAACGCTTTCTGAGTCTGGAGAGTCTCTGCGGTCAAATTTTAAAAATGACTTCCTTCAAGGAAACCTCATGGATATGGACTTCATCTGGGCATCTTCTTTGGAAATGCAGCGCCCATTCCTTTCTTCCTAGGGCCATGTGAATGCAATTGAGACTCTGCAAGTAAACACCTCAGTTATCCAGCAGGCCCTCTCCAGGTAGCTGCCCAGAATTTAAACACCTGGAAGACTGAGGAAAGCCTCTAATGAGTTAGCTTAGCTGCTGCCGAGGCTTTGTGCTAAAGTTCATGCCCTTTCCTGATGGTAAAGTGCCCCCCGCCAAATTCCACTAGGGTCTCTCTGCCATGATTCCTAATTTAGTTTTTAAAGCTGGAGCTACAAGTCAGAAAGAGATGAAGGTAATAGATATTTATTACACGTGTATGTGTGTGTGTGTGTGTGTGTGTTTTTAAATTCAGAATGTCATTGCTGAGTGGTTTGATTTCCGAACACACAATGGATTAGGAATAACGACGTAGAATAGGGAATTGGGATGAGAAGGGTGGCGCTAGAAGCACTGAGAAGGGATGGCCAGTAGTGCTGGCAGGCGGAAGAATCATAATCTCTTCCTGAGCAGCCTGGAGTTCTGTGCCTGGGAACCCAGAATAGTATACGACTTTCAGAACCGTGTATGACCCAAGCAGTTGACTTGTGGCTTTTCATCAAAAATGAAATGATTGGGCACCAAAGAGACAGAAACAGGTCATCAGGAAACTAGTCACTGTGGAACTTCTTGGTCCCTAACAGTGCTTACTGGTTGTGGGACATGTCCATAACTGTTCCATTCCTTGGTTTCCTCATCTTTATCATAGGAATCATGATGGTACCTACCTTGCAGGATTGTTTTGAGGGTTAGCTGGGTTTTATGTCTGAGAGCTCTAAAACACTTAGAACAGCGCTGGCCCAATACACCTGTGCTCTTGAGAGATTGTGTTTTCCAGTTCACCTGAGCTAATAGGGATGGTCTTCTTTCCATAAACTGAAATAAATGAGAGTAAATGGGAAGAAAAGGAATGTTTAGGGGAACTCAAGATGACTTGAAGCTAATGTAGTCTTTAGGGATATTGGGAACCACGTGGCTTCTGGAGGAGAAGTGAACAGTAACTATGTTTTAGCCTGCTAATTAATAGAATCACACTATGGGAAATTTGCCAAGTGAGAAAAGTCAAAAGTCAACATGGAAGAGGCTTCCGTTCTGAAATGGGACAGAAGTCCCCACAGATCCTCACTGACATTCCAGCTTTTTTTTTTTTTTTTTGAGACGGAGTTTCGCTCTTGTTACCCAGGCTGGAGTGCAATGGCGCGATCTCGGCTCACCGCAACCTCCGCCTCCTGGGTTCAGGCAATTCTCCTGCCTCAGCCTCCTGAGTAGCTGGGATTACAGGCACGCACCACCATGCCCAGCTAATTTTTTGTATTTTTAGTAGAGACGGGGTTTCACCATGTTGACCAGGATGGTCTCGATCTCTTGACCTCGTGATCCACCCGCCTCGGCCTCCCAAAGTGCTGGGATTACAGGCTTGAGCCACCGCGCCCGGCGGACATTCCAGCTTCTTGTTCCCCTGCCTTACACACTAATGATCTCCAGTTGACCTCTGCTGTAAATTGAAGGGATTGAGGCAACTGGTTTCTAACATTTCCTTTGGGCTCTGAAGTTGGTAGTTTTCAAATGGAGAACCAAGGCGTAACTGCCAAGGTGGCAGGTAGGGACAGAGCCTCGGCCCAGGGCTCTGGTCTGTGCTGGCAGCGAGAAGAATGGCCGTGGACCACCATCTTGTAGTAGCACAGTAGGGTGTGGCCATGCATATGGTAAATACAATTAGGATTTTGTCTGTTGCCCAGTTTTCTAGTCTTTTTCCCCCCATTCACGCTCGTTTTCTTAATAGCAAACTGCTCTGAACCTTTCCCTTTACAGAGGGAGGTGTTCTGGACTTACCTCCTTCCCAAGGACTGGTGTGAATATGTATGATGCTTCCCAAGCTGCAAAGAACACATTTCTCGAGTAGGTGCATAAATAAACAAGCCCATCAGAGACTGGGATTTAATATCAGCCCCCTGCGCTTGCCTTGGCAGCACATGTGCAAGGATGACGCACAATGTGATGTTCCAACATGAGGCATTCCATATTTTTTAATTAAAAAAATAATAATGGTAATATTAGCCACCAGATGGCAAAGTTGAGTGAGCTGTGAACAATTTCTTTTAATTATTGACTGTGGTGGGTTGTTTTAACTATGCCCGTGTCTCTCTCTCCTGCAGGCAAGATGAAGACTTAGCACATCTAACAAGGATCCAAATTAATGGTGGTGTCTCAGCCTAACTAGTGACTAAAGTAAAATAATAACAGCTTTTAATTTTTTTAATAAAAGATTTTAACTCTTGACCATTTCTTTTACCACCCAGGAGGATACCTGAATAGGTTAGAGTCAGAAAAAAAGCATAAACCTAGGGAGGTGGGTGGTGATAAGAAGCAGACACTAACACCAACCACCTGGGTTGCCAGCCAGTTCTACCACTTACTTGCTTCATGAGCACAAGTCTCT